CTGTACTTGAATTTCATGTTTTGATTTGGGTCCCTTTTTAGCTTCTTGCTTTGGGGTATACCTTTAACAATTCTATTGTCGTTTCCTATATATCTATATATATATATATATATATATATATATATATATATATATATATATATATATATATATATACTAGTTGTGAGACTGATGTATTACATTGGTTAATTTAAAAAAAAAAAATTAATATAAAGATCAAAATGTTTAAGAACTTTGAATTTATAAGAAAATAAGAAAAATAATGAATTATTATAATGGAAATGCTTCTTAACTTTTAAATTTAAATAAATAATCAAAAGAAACTAATGAACTTTAATTTTAGGAATTTTGAATTTAAAAGGTAAGTTGATTAATGAAATTGATATCCATTAATTACTACGTTTATTACAATTATTACATTAAAATATTATGTAGAATTTTAAAAAAATAGAAAAAACTCATAAAATTACATATGGAAAAAAAATTAATTCAAAATAACAAAAAAAATAACATTTGACAAATTGAATGAGAGTGTGACAAGTGCCAAGAAAACATTCATTTATTAGAGTAGAAGTTGTGAGACCCATGTATTACATGGGTTAAATTTTTATTTAAAAAAAAAGTTAAATATAAAGGTCAAAATATTTAAGAACTTTGAATTTATAAGAAAATCAGAAAAATAATGAGTTAATATAATAGAAATGTTTTTTAACTTTTAAATTTAAACAAATAATTTAAATAAACAAACAAAAGAAACTACTGAGCTTTAATTTTAGAAATTTTGAAATTAAAATGTAAGTTGATTAACAAAACTGATATACATTTATTACTACATTTATTGCAATTATTACATTAAAAAAATTATGTGGAATTTAAGAAAATTGAAGAAAAAAAAACTCATAAAATTACATGTGGAAAAAAAAATTATTCAAAATAACCACAAAATGACATTTGGCAAATTGAATGAGAGTGTGATAAATTGTAAAAAAGAAAAAAAAAACATTCATTGATTAAAGTAGAAGTTGTGAGACCCGTGTATTATATTGGTTAATTTTTTTTAAAAAAAAAGTTAAATATAAAGGTCAAATTTTTTAAGAACTTTGAATTTATAATAAAATAAAAAAAATGAATTATTATAATGGAAATGTTTTTAAACTTTTAAATTTAAACAAATAATTTTAAAAAATAAACAAAATAAACCAATGAGTTTTAATTTTAGGAATTTTGAAATTAAAAAGTAAGTTAATTAATGAAATTGATATCTATTTATTATTACATTTATTGCAATTATTACATTAAAATATTATATGAAATTTAATAAAATATGAAAAAAAAACTCATAAAATGACATGTGAAAAAAAAATTAATTCATAACAACCACAAAATGACATTTGGCAAATTAAATGAGAGTATGATAAGTGGCAAAAAAAAATTCATTTATATAATCGGGACGGGGCAGGTCGAGGAGAGGATAACTCATTGACTTCCCCGAACCCAATAAAAAGCCCGATAACAACCCGTTATCTAACCCCAAAACGCTCGGGTTTCGGGTTTCCCCGTCGGATTCGGGGTTTTTTGCCATCCCATCCAACCAATATTATAAAACATATTAAAATTTGTTATCTCCATAATATGTATGTAATTTTGTACTGAAAAGTTAATATAATATTAACTTGCATTATAAATTAACATCTATATTTTGTCATTTCCCAAGGACAAATCTTGATCTTTGTGGTTTTTCTGCATACCAAGTTTAGTCAGCTTCATAAAAATGTCCATATATTTTCAACTAGGTTAAAACATATGGAATCTACAGGTGTTAATTTTAAATAGAAAAAAATAGATTATGTAATAAAATAATATATCATTAATTTTGAAAAACTTATAAATTGTAATATTGTATTTTTTAATGACTTTATAATTTGTATCATTAACAAAGTATGTTCCTAACTATACTAAACATGTAGTTTCAGATATTAATATCTTGGATTTATCATTATTAGATATAATCACAAACTTAAGTTGCCCATTAGCCAAGGAAATTTCAACTTTCGGACTTAAATTGTTCAAGTTATATTATGTTTTGCTTGCAATCTATCAAACCGATGTTCTGTAAAATAATCACAAATCATTTAAAAGACATTTTCTAATGATACAACTTATTACTTTTTTTTAAAAAAAAAACATGCATTCGTATTTGATATTATAGCTTTCCAATCATATATAATACTAATTAGTCATAAATCTCATAAAAAATATTAGCTAGCATTTTCAGGTTTCAACTTGCTTGTGAATTGATTACTATATAGTAACGTTAACTTACTATATTGGTGAATACACTTTTGTATCATGATTTGCTAATTTGGTCATCCAAATATGTTTTACAGCATAAAACATTTTCCCCTTGCCAACCATTGTCAAGATGTTCTATACAGTTTTGAATATACCTGCTACAATTGACAAATCCCCAAAAAAGACCATTATACCATTGGCTCTTCTTATTGCACCAGATCATCTCACCTATATTGTTCTTCCTTCCAAGAAAACTAAAAGTCATCAGTTTATAACAAAGGTTAAAGATACTACAATTAGAGTTCAACACCGAAATAAACTAATAATTCATCAAAAACTATAACACACCTACTATGTAATCTCTCAAATAATTATGTCTCAAACAGATCTCAGTTGAGTTCCTTTTGTATAACTGAGAAATTTTTTATGAACTTAGCGATGCATTTTCTATTCAACTTTACATCCTTCCAAAGAAGCCAAAATACAAATGCATAACCGAAGGCCAAAGGAAGAATTAAAATAAAAATAAAAATAAATAAAAAAAACCTTACACTTACACAAAAAATAAAAAAATGTGTTTTTTACAATGCTTACTTGATATCGAATCCAATTGTATGTATTGGATCAATATCAAATTGAACATTTAGTAATCGGAAAGAAATCGGCTATAAGAAAAGGTATCAAAGAGAAATTACCTTTGAAGTAGGATGTTGCTCATTGCTAAATTTATAGGATTTACAATGTTGTTATAGAAATGGTAAATTGAAATAGAAGAGAAAAAAATTACAGTATTTACCAAAAAGTAAATAAGGATCTTACAAACCTATGACTGAAACATCTCGTCTAAAGTGGTATTACTATTAGAAATAGTATTACTATTAGAATGCTATCCCACAGTCGGCAAGAATTGTATTACTATTAGAAATAGTTAAATAAATGCAAGAAATAGCAATGAACTTTCATACATGTGTTTATTATATTTATGTCATATCCTATTTTAATGAAATCTGATAATTTATAGCAACGCAAAGCAAGTTTATGTAGTAATTTCAAGTTACAATGTCTTAATAGGATAAAATTTGAAAGTACAATGCTATAATTATATCAGGGGTAGATTAGTAAAATGAACAGTTGATGTTACCTCAAGATATATTCTTACAGTAGACATCCTGCAAAGAATTTAAAAGTGTATGAGATTGCAATAGTTGAGAGAATGATAGAATGGAATGAGTGATTACTTTCAATTATCATGTTTGGCATGGTTATAGGAATGACATCATTCTAATTTTTCTTATTTTCTTTTTCTTTTTCTAATTTAATTAATTACTTTATTTTAATACACAAACATTTTTTATGCACAAATATTAAACAAATTTTATTTTTTTAAACCACAAAAAATTAATATAATATAAATTATATTTTTTAAACACGTACATTTCATATAATATAAATTGAAACCGTCTTTTCTTGAATATCTTTTCAAGTATATTTCTTTTTGTTTCCTCTCTTCCAAATTCATTATGCCACTTTGAAGTTGCAATATCGAAGGAAATATAACATCTATTAATGTAAAAATGCACAATTTTAACACATAATGTAACAACTTTAAATTACATTGAGAAAAAAAATTATTATCACTACTAGAAAAATAGCCTTTTACGACGCGCAATCTACGACACTCAGTGATTTATGTTACGCAAAAGGGAGTGATATTAAAAAAGTGTCGTCTCTTCAAAAAATTTAAGGATTTATGTCACGCATCATTGTGTGCCCTTAGATTAGTGTCTCATGTAAAAAAAAAAAAAAAAACACGGAGGGCACTTTATCTAAAATGTGCGCCCTCTGTGAATGTCGCTTTATGTTTTACTCAAAACGCGCGTTCTTGAAAGGGGGAAATGAAATCCCCAAAAATTAAAACCCCGCCTATTCCATGTGAAAAATTAAAACTCGCTCCTCTTCGTCTTCCTCTCTCTCTCTCTCTCTCTCTCTCTCTCTCTCTCTCTCTCCTTCTAACCTAAAAAGGCAACCTGCGATTTCATATAGATTGTTATTAAGATTTAAGAAGAAAAGAAGAAGATAAGCAAGGATAATACTACTAAATTCCACAAAATCGCAGGGACTAGGGTTTTTTTCAAGAACGGAAACACTTGGTGCTCTCTGGCCTCTACAACAATCGATCGATGATCTCGCCTCACCTCGTCGGCAACATCTTTGCTCACTTCTCCTTCAACGAACTTAGGGGTATTTTCCTCCGGTGACCTCGGGCTCATGTGACCTCTTCAGAGACTGCTCAAATTTCCACACCCTAGCCCGACTAAGATATGCTATGTTTATTCTCTATTCCTAATTTTTTTGTTCTTCTATTTCTTTAATCTCTCCTCTATTCATAGCTTTGATTTTGATTTTGGATCTTCTCATCTTCTCCTGTGAAAACCCTAACTGAAAAACTATGCAGGTTTCAATGGCGATTTCCTCATCATTCCACGGTCCTCACTTCTACTCTCTTAGCATCTCAGGTATGCTTTGTTCCTTCTCCCTTATTTTAATTCTTCTTGTTTGATTTCCTAGGTGCATTAGGGTTCGGATGTTTCACCTTTTCCTAAACCAAAATTCCATTTATTCAAGATACAATCTTCTGTGCTAAATTATATTAATTCAGTGACATATGTCGGTTAGGTTTTCACAAGGTGAAATTTTAGGAATCGAAGATGGGTAGTTACAGTGATAACGAAGATGAATTTTTTGACGCCCGTGAGGTGTTTGCTTCAATGTCTGACTCAGGCTGCGATTGCTCCCCAGAATACTGTTCTACCTTTGGATTCGACTATGATTATTGGGTTGGGAATCTGGAAAAGGGGTTAGTGAACCATATGATGTTGTACATCACGCTACATAGCAACTTTAAGGGCATTTAAGGTATTATACTACTTATGTACTCACAGTATGGGTTGAAACCTGTAACTTTACTTGAAAGAGTTTTCTTACAAACACACAAAAGAGCTTTGTTACACGTATACACCTCTTATTTCAAGTTGAAACAAATCTATCTATCCCCCCCTTCTCATCCACACACAAATGGTTGAATAGGTACAAAAGTGTGGAGTTCTAATGTAGTGTGTGGAAGAACTAACAACAATGAAGGTTAGTTTTATAACACATGCAAATGAAGGTCAGTTTTATAACATATTTTCTTTATTTCAGCTTTTATGATTGATTTCATTTCATTATCTTTTAATCATTTGTATTAATTTTTAGATATCTAATACACCATATAACAGGTTGTGAGCATATAACAGGTCTCAGATCTCAGGCAGGTTCGTGAGCATATAACAGGTTCCAGATGCCCGATTATGGGTAGTGAGAGAAAAGGTTGTGGTGGGAATCTATGGAACATATGAAGGAAATGGTTGCTGATCATGTATAAGAAGAGAGAAAATAAAAAGATAGAGCACCAATTCATCATGGAACAGAATCGACTGGCTTTTGACTATAAAATCAAGAACTACGAGGTGGTATATATCAAGACTCAAGTAAAGTAGTAAACTAATCGGTATATATATAAGAAAACATACGTACTAGACAATTAAAGAAATACATGAGCACAAGAATATAGATTCGTATTACGAGGAATACTCATACTGGTGTTTGCATCCAAGATATTAGTCGGCTATCAGGTTTTTTAATTAACGCAATGTTCATTGTTAAGATGATTGAATATTTAATACTCTTATTCTTGTTTTCGATCCTGTTTCATTCTGTTTTTTTTCTAGTAAGCTTTCATTTTGAAGGTGATTATTCTAATGTGGTGTCCTTTTCATGCACTACGAATCAGATGTTGATGGATGGGTAGGAAACAAATGTCTTTCCCAAATAGCGTATAATTACTTGGTTATCTGCTCTCTCGTGATGTGTTCATCGCTGAAATAATTGTGATTTGTCTCCTCACTAATAGGATAAGGCTTTTCATGATAACTCACTAATAGTAAAACAAAAAAAAAAAAAAAAAAAAAAAAAACAAATTCAAAGTTATTTAAGTTTTTGGTGTAGTTTTTTATTAAAATTTTCAAATCAAAAAACATATTTTTATTTCTATACTAGGTTTAAACCCGTGGAAAATACGGTTAAAAAAGAAAAACAACATTGAAAACATGAGAACTGAAAATATATTTAAAATCTTGGCTCATGTGTTAGAATCAAAGCTAATTGTCATATTTAGTTATCTTCCTAAAACACATTGCTAAATATAATTTACTCATATATGACTTTAGTCGTATATAACTTAACATGTGTTTACTTGTATTTAGTAGTATATAACTTTAATTATCCCTTATATTTACTCGTTATTTTATTTTGATTTGTATTTTGCAGGTTCAAGTGGATATAACACCACCACTACCTTTTGGCAGAAATTCTGTTGCCCTAAGTGTCAAGTGGAACTCCCTCCAACATCTTTAGCCAATCAGGTTTGTTTTTCCTACATACATAGTATATAATACATGGAAATCAAAGAAATAAAGTGAGTAAATTGTTGGTGGAATGGAATCGGGTAAAAAGACGAATTGAATTCTTCATATCCACATACTACAAAGGAATTATGACGGTATGCAAACAATGCTATTATGATTTTAATTTTTTAATTTTTTTTACTGAAATTGGATGTAAAATTTCAGTGTGATGATGAAACATGCGACTATACAACATGGAGTTTAAACTTGCGTGTTGTTGGTGAATCTGAGAGAGGAACAGTATGCCCAAATTACCTTCGCTGTCATGGTCGTCTTGTGAGACGGGTTGGTTTTCATCTCAAAGTAAAAAACACTATTTTTGTCATTACCCTTGATCAAAAACTGAAAATTTAATTTTTGACTAGTATTCGGAGGCTGATGTGTACAAGCAACTCTCTACTTATGTTATCTCCTGGATGCTGATCGCTGCATTGACAATGTTATTTTTGTCATTAGTTAAAATTTTCAGATATTGATATGAAGTGTTTTATAATTGGTTAATGTATAAAATGAGTTTGGTTTCAGGTTGATGCTAAGTTGAAGGCTACAGTTGATAAAGAGGTTGGTAGGATAAGAGGTTTGGTTGGATTAGCTTTTTCCACAGCACAGAAGGTTAGGGACAGGTCTATATTTTTTTTCTTGATTAAGTCTTGTTTTTGTTAAGTAAACAAGAAACATAAACTAAAAGGTCTATATTTTGTTTCTTGATTGGTTTGATGCAACAACTTCTTTAGCTGGTTCAGTGGGACCCAATGTGAAGATGACATGGATTAAATTCAAGATGGAGTATGTTCAGATTATATATTCTTTTAATTAATCATAAAAAAATAAGCATCTTTTTATTGTTTGCTTGAATAAAACCTTTCTTAAAACCTTTTCTTTATCTTTTTTTGAAATCCACCTTCCTTCATTATTGTGTTACTGATTTTGTTTTTGAAAATTCTTTTTTTAAAGGATGCTGATGAAGAGGACTTTGGTGATGAGGATGATGAAGAGGTAAACAAGTATAATAACCCTTTTATATATCGATCTCTGCTAAAAGGATATCTATTGCTTGATGATCTTTCTGCAAATTGAAGTACAAAATATATTAGGCATATGATCTAATATATTTTGTACTTCAATTTGCAGAAAGATCATCAAGCAATAGATATCCTTTTAGCAGAGATCGATATATATGAGCTTTTTGCTTTCAAACATTGTTGGGGAAGAAGGTTGAAACTTGCTCTTTGTGAAGGTAATTTTTTTTTCTTAATGTATTATCCTCTATATTCTTGATATTTTCCCACTTTTAAAATCTTTTATCAAATTCTCACTTTTGGATACAAAGCTTGATGAAAGAATGTGTGACCTAAATCTTTTATCAAATTCTCACTTTTGGAGGTGGCCATAAGAAAAGGTAAGCAAAGGGTAATTTGGTATTTGTTGTTGTTATTGTGTATTACAATACTTCCATGTATATATGTATAAAGTTTGTTCTTATTCAGATTTGCCTTTTACCATTGATTTCCTTATTGAGGCATTGTACTTTGAAAATGTTAATTCTTACCTTTTGTCCATGTAGGATCCACCAGGAACAGGAAAAACACAAACAATTTTTGGGCTTCTTAGTGCCATATTACATACCAACTGATTATCTAAGTCTCTTAACTTTGTAAGACATTGATTACTTGAGGGTATTTTTAGTAACATTGTAAGAGATTGATTACTTGAGGGTACTTATGATATATAATGTTATATTCTTTTGTTAACATGGTCCTTAGTGCAATGAATTATCTTTATTGTTTATGGTATTTTATTTTGTATTATGAGACTTTTAATGTGTTATTTAATTTGAAAATTAGTAAATCTATCAAAAAAGTATTTTATTTCTATTATGAGAAATTAAATGCAAATTTAATTTAAAAATTAATAAATATATAATTTTTTTTAAACATTTAAATTTACGATACGCAAAAATGTGTGTCATCTTCATTTATGACATGGCCTTTCTTGACAGGGGCTTTCTTGATACGCATTGCGTGTCATTAACACGCGCGTCGTAAGGTTACGACACGCGGATGCATGTCGTCTTCCTTTATGACAGGGCCTTCCTTGATACGCATTGCATGTCGTAAACGTGCGTCGTAATTGCGCGTCGTAAATGAGCGTCGTAAATGCGCGTAGTCTCTCTTTATGACAGGGCCTTCCTTGACGCACATTTGCGCATCGTCTGAGCCTTTTACGACGCGCAATGAGCGTCGTAAAAGGCTGTTTTTCTAGTAGTGTATCTTACATCAAATACAAACATGTTCTCTTTGTAGTTGGCATCATGGCCTGAAGTTTCCCATAGTTGCATGTTAAACATATTTGATGTGGTAACTTGAAAAAACAATGTTACATTAATTATTTATATATGAAATACTATAACATGAATTTAATATATATATATATATATATATATATATATATATATATATATATATATATATATATATATATATATATATATATAGGCTTAGGTTATTCTATTTAAAATATATATTGTGTTATTATATGCAAAATTGTGGACCAATCAATTATTTAATTTCTAAAAGAAAATGATTAATATTTAAATGATATACAATAAATGAAAATGGGTGCTCAATTAAAGATAACGGTTGAATAAGGGTATAAGTGTACATTGTCCTCTCCATTAAAATACGAAACTGAATAAATTGATGAAAACTACCCGCATAATCCCTATAACATTGCATGCACCCGAATTCCACTACCCTCTGTATCGGAACACAAAATCAAACTATATCTTCTCTACTCAACCCAAAAATCGGTGGATTCTGTTGTGTATGTTATATAAAGTGATCAATTCTTGAAGATTAATCACAGAAATTGCGTTGTGATCGTTTGAAGTAAAAGAAATCGCAGTGCAAAGAGGAATACAAGGACGGGTTCTTTCAAATTGAAATTTAAGAACACACAAGAAACAACGTTGAATCTAGATGAAGACGATGATGATTTCATCACTCTGCCTATAGGTAGTTTTTTTATAAATATGTTTTTTAAGGAAATCGTTTGAGTACTCAACATTCTTTTGGAATTTTCTACAAATTAATGTAGAAACATGTTCAATTACACGTTAATTAACTGGGAAAATATATATTATATAGTAATATTTCATTAATACCCTTTAAGAATGATTGGTTCATATTTGTGCATACAATAACACAATACATAGAATAAACACCAGAACCTATCTCTATATAGGCTTAGGTTATTCTATTTAAAGTATCTATTGTGTTATTGTATGCAAAATTATGGATCAATCAATTATTTAATTTCTAAAAGAAAATGATTAATATTTAAATGATATACAATAAATGAAAATGGGTGCTCAATTAAATATAATGGTTGAATAAGGGTATAAGTGTACATTGTCCTCTCCGTTAAAATAGGAAACTGAATAAATTGATGAAAACTACCCGCATAATCCCTATAACATTGCATGCACCCGGATTCCACTACCCTCTCTATCGGAACACAAAAATCAAACTATATCTTCTCTACTCAACCCAAAAATCGGTGGATTCTGTTGTGTATGTTATATAAAGTGATCGATTCTTGAAGATTAATCACAGAAATTGTGTTATGATCGTTTGAAGTAAAAGAAATCGCAGTGCAATGAGGAACACAAGGAGGAGTTCTTTCAAATTGAAATTTAAGAACACACAAGAAACAACGTTGAATCTAGATGAAGACGATGATGATTTCATCACTCCGCCTATAGGTAATTTTTTTTATAAATATGTTTTTTAAGGAAATCGTTTGAGTACACACCATTCTTTTGGTATTTTCTACAAATTAAGCACTTGCATGTGGATGATTAGTTAGTTTAAGTAAAAAAGAACGAAATAGTTTAAAAAGGGGTTATTTTTAGATTAGGGTTTTATGAAATTGGGGATTTAAAACTCGATAATTTTGTATTAAATGTAAATGATATGCGAAACAAACATTCTTCCAGAATTTCAACATATTTAACATTATTTCTGTTATAATTAGTAGTGTTCTTTGTGTTTGATTTTGTTTTTAAGAGTTGTCAGTTTAGTTTTTAAAAATTTTCATAAAACTGTGATGTGTTTGATGTTCTTGAAAATTTTTTGAAGGTATTATTTGTAAGTTTTTTATTCATGGTTTTCGTTTTTATGGAAAAATAAATATTTTTTAGTTATAGTTCTAGTCCCATGTTTTTGGAGGTTTACTTTATTTGTATAGAAAGTATGAATCATATTCTCATAGAGTAATATTAAGGTTTTGTGTTTATCTTAATTGAGAATGGTAGTGTTGTTTGTGTTTGAACATATTCTCATAGAATAATAATAAGGTTTTGTGTTTATATTAATTGAGAATGGGAACATGTTCAGTGTGTAGAAATATTCTGTTAGAATGATTTTTGTTATTGTAATGGTAATATGAAATGCATTCTTCAAGATTTGAGCATATTTAAAATACTTTCTTGTACTGTTGGTAATGTTGGATGTGTTTGATTTTGTTTAAGAATTCTTAGTTATTTTTTTATTTAATCCCCTGATTTTGATGGTTTACTTCATTTTTGGTAGATTCTGTGAATCATATTCTCATAGAATAATAGCAAGGTTTTGTGTTTATATTTATTAACAAATGGGAACATGTTAACTGTGTATAAATAATCTGTTAGAATGCTTTCTGTTTTTATAATGTACATCTTAAGTGTTGGTATTGTTGTATGTGTTTGAACATATTCTCATAAAATAAGAGTAAGGTTTTGTGTTTATATTAATTGAGAATGGGAACATGTTCAGTGTGTAGAAATATTATGTTAGAATGATTTTTGTAATTGTAATGTTCATATGAAATGCATTCTTCAAGATTTTGAACATATTTAAAATACTTTCTTCTACTGTTGGTAGTGTTGGATGTGTTTGATTTTATTTAAGAATTCTCAGTTATTTTTTTTATTTAATCTCCCGATTTTAATGGTTTACTTCATTTATATAGATTCTATGAATCATATTCTTATAGAATAATAGCAAGGTCTTGTGTTTATATTCATTAACAAACGGGAACATGTTAAGTGTGTATAAATAATCTGTTAGAATGTTTTCTGTTTTTATAATGTACATGTTAAGTGGTGATAGTGTTGTATGTGTTTGAATCCTATTCTCATAGAATAAGAGTAAGGTTTTGTGTTTATATTCATTAAGAATGGGAAAATGTTACGTGTGTATAAATAATCTGTTAGAATGCATTCTGTTTTTGTAATGGTGTTCTGAAATGCATTCTTTCATAATATGTATGTATTTAATATATTTTCTTTATGAAATGCATTCTTCCAGAATATGAAGCAGAAGGTGTCAGAAGTGAGCAAATTGATAGAAATATTGTTGGATCAAGCAAAACAAAGAAACAAAAGAAAAAACTTCAAGATCAGAACATGCAAAGAACAATATAGAATCTGGAAAATCAGGTAGCATCATTATTGCGTAAAATTATTTTATTTATATATAGAATTTAATTATGAGAATGTTGGTATTGTTGGAATAGTATCTAAGTCTGCAACTATATTAGGCAAGTATTTGACCCGATTGTGCATGGTCCTTTTGGGTTGCCTTCACCATAACAACTTGGAAGGATGGATTATTATGAGAGAATATATATTATTAATATATTATGAGAATAATATAATTTATAATAATATTGTTATTTGATTAATATAAGTCATAGATTAATTAGTATTAATTTGGTGACTTAAAGAGATTAATTAAATAAGAGGGTATAAACTGTCAATTGTTTGATTGTTACACTTTGGGCTGTAAATCCTTATAGGATAGAGGGTGGACGATTTTTAGGGCTAAGGATAGCCATAAAATCGTCCAAGGCATATCTAAGGAAAGGATTAGGATTGCCTAGAGTCTGAGTTATCCAATTAGGGTTTAAGGGTAAAACCCTAGGAGCCTTGCAAGTATAAATAGACCCCTTGGGATAGGGAAATCGGCACCTCCTCTACAGCAAGGAAACCCTGGCCGATTTCCTCCTCTCTCCTCTCTCTCAAATCATTCTCTTTGCTAGTTGGTGTTTGTAAGCCATTAGAGGAGTGACAATTGTGACTCTAAAGCTCCAAGAACAAGAAGATCAAACAAGTGTTTCAAGGTAAGCTTCTAACTCTGGTTTTTGTATTGTTCTTATACCTAATTAGCCATTAGAAGTCTTGGATTCAATGCATGTTTAATTAGAGAAACCTAGATCCAAGCAATAGGGTTTGTATGTGCACATAGGAATGTTCATATGACCAAAACCCATCAGGTATAACATTAATTATTGTATTCATGTTCTAGTAGACAGTGAGTAATTATGTTTGTGTGATTGAATAGATGTTAACAAAAATAAAGAAGAGACAATACCAAGTGATAACATAGTTGTTGGAAGGATGAAAAGGAAAGGTTCTGCGAGAAGAACACATGCTAAGGATAGTAATAAATCCTCCAAAGCAAGTGGTGAAAGGAAAAAACCAAGAAGTCTAAATGTGTTGTGGGTCAAAGAAAAAAATGAAAAGGAAAATTTTGGTGTGCAAATGGAAGATAAAGAAAATGTTGTAAAGAGAAAAAGGTAGTGAATGATGCACATTCAAAGAAATTTCCAAAGAGAAAGATGGGAAAAATAGTGCATGAAAATGTTAATATCAAAACAAAAGAGGAGAAGGTCAGAAAGGTAAGCAAGGACCATCCAGAAGGGTATAGAAGACTTGCAACTAGGATGACTCCTGGTAGGATTAGTGCAGCTGTCAAAGTAATGTCCCCTGCACAAAAAACTGGGATTGTGTGTATGGGTTTTGGTTCACTTCTGAACATTGACATGGACACTGCTCTGGGGTTACTTAACTGCTATCTGTTAGGTCACTATGATCTAGATAGTAGCCGTCTAGTTCTGGAGAATATGGTCATAATAATTACGAAAGACACAGTGCATGACATGTTGGGTTTACCAAATGAAGGGGAAAATTTCTTGAGCATGACTAGTTGTGAGAAAGATAATCAAGTTCTTCAAGAATGGAAAAGTCAATATGATAAAAAGGGGTTTAACGGGGAAGAATACCTGAAAAGGATCAAAAACACAAAGGAAGACAGTCCTATGTTTAGGCTGAATTTTCTAACCCTTTTCATTAACACATTTGCGGAATCAACTTTGAGTGGTACCAATCAAATAAATGTTGTGAATAAGTTGGTCATGGTAAAAGACTTACCTAAAATAGATTGGTGCAAGTATATTGTGGATTGTTTGGTTAGCAGAAAGTAGCTGTGGAGAAGGGATGATAAGACATGCTATTACAGTCGACCTATACTAATTTTGACAGTAATTTTGGTATCTCGATTAGATATTTACTTTAATGTATGATAGTATATGTTCAATGAACTAATTGATGAAGTTTTTCTTATGTAGCTGGTGTATGTATATAGCATGAAGTTTACAAGATTGAAGATAGTTAATAGGTTACCATTTATTAGGAATGTTACGGGTGCTAGTCTGGAAAAAATAAAGAAGTTGGAAATTAGTGTTGGGGGGTTTGGTAGACAGCTACCAAAAGACTTTGAAAATATTGATGGTGATGAAGAAATGGTTGATGAAGATGAAATGTCGTATGAGCTAACGAGATTGTATGGGGATGAGGAGGTAAGGCTTTTATTCTATTAGAATTTCATGTTAATTAGAATTTAATGTAAATTAGAATTTCATAAACTGATTTTCCAGTATCTACATTGTGTTTTATAATTTCATAAAACTGGTTTTACATAATATTTATACACACTTAACTGATTTAAGTTGTATTCTGTGTCATAATGTTAGTGAGGTAATATGTATGTTGAAGATTAATTATGTCAGAAATTTTTTACTGGTTTGTTAAAATAAAACTTAAAAGCATACGTAGCTATTATAGAGCATAGCTATGCAATAATATTGTCTGAGAAGAAGAATATTGAAAAAGCTCTAAAAAATGGAATTGAGAAATTCCCAGATAGCTTGATGTTGAACGAGTGGTACGAAAAAAATAAAGAATTGTTCGAGGAAGTGAATAAGGCAGATAATGGAGGAATAAATAGTAATGAAGCTGGTTTTGATGGTCATAGAAAAGAAGGAGAGTCAGATGGTGGTAAGGAAGAAAAATTCTCTCTAGTTAGAGGATTGGTAGTTGATGGGGATCTTCATGCTGTCAAAAGTTGTAGGGCGTGAAGCTAGAACATTCCCTCGATACGGAGGCACTAAACCCCAGATGTACCGTTCAATCTTCTTGCTTTCCGAGGGACCATATTGGGGCACATAGCTGCCAAGTCACAAAACCTGGCCGTATAAGCCGTTATATCAGTCCTCTTCATCTTGAGGTTGCAGAGTTCTTCCTCAAGTTTCTGAACTTCGCCCCTAGGGCAATACTCTCCTCTCATGAGGTCTTTCAGGGTGTCCCAGCCCATAGCATTGGCTGTGACCAAGGAAAGTGAACTAACATGGCCATTCCACCATGTCAAGGCCCTGTTAGTGAGGGTAGCAGTAGCGAACTTGATTTTTCTCTCTTCGGGACAAGAGCACATCTCAAACACCGCTTCGGTTCTTTCGAACCATTGGGATAATGCCAGGATTCCTTCGGTACCGTCGAAGAAGGTAGGTTTACAGTTCATGAAATCCTTATAAGTGCATCCCTGCACTCTATGATGGACTTCACCGAACCTGGAGTTACCACCGCTCGCATCCGCAGAATTCATTTGGGCCATGGCTGCTGTCACGGCCGCAGTCACCGTTGTTTGGAATAGCACCGGATCGATCTGTGGAGGAGGAGGTGGTACAGTAGGGGTTTGAGTTACAGGCCTTCCTCTGGTGGGACGCTTTCGTGGAGGCATCCTTTACTGGAAGAATTATAGAAATGATAGTAATAGTAAGAGCCTATTGCGAATATAAATAGAGTGTTTCGTGGATTAAATCAACATAATCCAAGATCAGGATGAGAGTTATAGCAATAGAGAAATCAACTGCCAATATATTGGTATTAATGATTCAACACAAGTTCATGAAAATTTGACCTAGCAATAGGTCTTACATCATACCATAGAGAAAATGTTGGCAGTTTAGAGGTTTAACTAGAGTACTTTCAAGCTAGGAAGCTTTACAGATAATAGATCTACGGAACATAGAGTGAAAAGGTTAATCCATTAAACAAAAGATTGAGGTAACTAGACGTCTTCTACTGGCGACGGTTGCTTGTTGGGCGAATCCTCAGATCTTCTAGCTGACTCATAACTTCTTGAAGGTGTCGATCATGAATCCTTTGGCGTGCACGGAGTTCTCCAACTTCGGCTCGGGATGCAGCCAACTGGTGCTGCAGAGCCTCGTTGGTCCTCCTTGTCCTGTCCATGGCTTCTTCGAGTTGGCGGATGCGAACCGTGTTGAGATTTGAGTTGGCATCCACTCCCACAACTCGACCTATTGCAGCTTGACCTTGCTCGACATTCCTAGAAATCCTTCGGATCATGATGGGCAGAACCCGATCTGCTGATCCTCCTTCGTTTATGTTGTAGAAACTTCGATCTCCATTGTATGGCATGGGCTGACCCTGCTCTTCGCTCCATCTGTGCAAGGATATGGCCCACATAGGAGTGGGGCCCTGAAATGTCGGACGGGGGTTGGGGTTCGGAACTCCGGGAGGTAGGTTATTAACTTCTGGCTCGGAGTCGGAGTTATCCGAAAAGCCTTCTGCTCGGTGGTCATCCAAAGGGATTGGGTGATCATCGTCCGACTCTTCACTGAGACATCCCCCATTACCCTGGTTTGGGTAGTACGAGTCGCCAGGAGGGTGGAAGCCAGCCATGGTATCTATGCGAGAAAAAGGGGAAAAGAAGATTAATAGGCGCACTAACCTAAATTACTTATAAGATGGTCGTCACGAGTTGGACCAATACTTGCATAATGCATACTAATTACATGTGACTGGGGCAGGATAGTCCGTCGAATAGATGATCCTAACTCTAAATCCACAACCAAACAAGGAACAGGAAGTAAAGCAAAGATCACAGATTCTAAGTCTATAACGCCCTAGTCACATGTAACCAGAAAGTATCCATTTAGCAACTATTGCTCCATCAGTAACGACCCTTTTTAGTTCTCACAGATGTATATTTTTAGAGGTACCGAATACTCCTATAGTATTCTAATGTTAACGTTATGGTGGTAGTGTCGGTAAGTTTTAGACTTGTTGTAACACCACAACCAAGCTTAGGCACATGCTAGTCACTCCCAGGAAAACGTAGTTTATCAGGCTATATCCCCCTAGATGTGACTATATGTCTCTAAGCCCAATTGTGCTATCCAACAATCTTAATACTTTTGTTTTGTTCTAGGATGATACTGACTTCTGTGTTTTATAGTGATGTGTGTATATATATACTTAGTTAAATCTTTTAGATACTTAGCAGTATATATTCTTGGTCAGAGTGTCTTAGTCCCGAAGTGTTTATAGTTCGTATATCTTTTATAGGTTGATATACCTGATTCACTATAAACAATGCTCTGATACCAATCTGTCACACCCCAAAACCGATAACGGCGGAATACGTTTCGGGGTGGATGACGTAGTGTACAGTATCATCACATTTGTATAATAGTAAAAGCAAGAAACATACAACCATTTCATTTACATAGTAAGTGTATTTACAAGTGTGTTTTGTAATGTTTGACAAACACCAAAAGTAAACAAAAATAAGAGATGGGTCTTGCATATTCCATCTTCTCCAAAAATGCTGCAGCTGTACCTGTCTATCTTTGACCTGAAGATACAAGTTATTTTGAAAAGAATATCAGCATAAAGCTGGCGAGTTCATAAGAGTTTAGTGTGAGTTCTTGTATAAAAAGCATTTGAATCATTAGTATGTAAACTGAAGTTTGTAATCATAAGTAATAGTAAAACCTAGAAAATCCTATATTTTCCAGAACTGTATAGTAAATAAAAATCTTTAAGAAGTATATTGATTCTATCTTTGAAAGCCATTTATCGTAGAAGTGTAATAGTGACTCACCATTAAGTAAGGCAATATAGTGAGTTATTCTTGGAGTACATAATAGTGTTGCAGCATCCTTTAGTATTAGATACTTATTTACTTCGGGATATTACTTCATCTTTCTTTTAGTATTTTAGTGCGGTTATAGTGTCTTTCCTTGTATGTTACCAATAGTGTGGTAATAGCGGACCACCATGACCTTCCCTGTCATGCATAGTGTAGTAGAGTAAAGGCATCCCTGGACCTGAGCGGCTCGGACTGAAGTTATCAGTCGGGATGTAATAGCGTCTGCCCCGTATAGATCTATACATATAGTGTCGTCTTCCTATCGGAAAACTCCGGGCGTAGTGTGTAGCGTATAAAGTATCCCGTAGTGGATTAATGAATTATCTCATAATTAGTACATTCTCTTGTATTATAGTGTAGTAGTCTTTTGTATAACTTGTATTGTATTCTCTTATTAGTGTATTTCTTCATAATAGAGAGAATTATAGTAGTGTAGAGTAGTAGTTAAAACAAGGGATAGGTCCTTAACTATACCTATTATAGTTAAATTAGTGTGTATGGTTCTAGTTAGGTTAGTGATTTAGGCATCTAATGAAATAAGAAGTACTCGTAACCCGTACTAATATACGAGATATATAACTAAGAAATCAATGACAGTCGGACGGATAACCACTACCCTAAGCCCACAATCAAACAAGAAACAGGAAATAAGGCGAGCTATCGGTCCTAAGTCCTTCAAGTCTTACTTATATAAATATATTAGTATGGTTACATTCTTATAAGGAGTTTTATTAAACAAAAGTGTTGTACGAAAGAAACATTTAAAACTTTTTTGTTTATCCAAGATAGTTTTGAAAACAATTGATTTATTTATAAAGCATAGTGATAAATCACATGTGATTTGAACTACAGGTTGTGAATCACATGTGATTAATTCTGTAATCTGAAAAATTGTCTTGTATAACTTTTCATAAACATGTATATTCAACTTGTATCTCCCCCCTAAAACATATAAAACATTTGAAAGGTTCATTAAAGGGGTATGAACTCACCTGAAATCGCGTAAATCGGGTGAATCGGGTAAATCGGGTAAAAGTGTCGGTTGAGCGTTTTGTTCCAAATAATGACTTGTACACCTTTAGGACCCTAATGTCATATGAAAATATGTGTTTTACAATAAATTAATCATTTTATGCTTTCCGTTTAAGTATTGAGGCATTCTAGCATCAATTCGGGGTTTTAGGGCCTAGAAGGGGTTCCCGGGAGTGGTTTAAGGCTAAGGAGGGTTTACGGAAGGGTCCATGAGCTCACTCCCTTGGAGTTTACGGCCTAAAGGCCACTCCTTGGGAGTTTACGGCCGTAAGCCCCCTAGGCTTGGCCGTAAGCTCATGTGGTCTTCCAAATTGCTTGTTTAAGGCCTTATTTCACTTCCTTACTTTAATGGCATGTGTCTTGGACCAATATGGAGGGATTAAACTCTTGTTTTGTGACATTTTGGGGAGTTTACGGCCAAGACTTGTTCTTGGGCCGTAAACTCCATTAAATCCTTCAAGATGGGTGTTTAAATGGTACAACATGTTCTCATTCACCTTAGATAAATCCTAGAAGGCCTTACAATGAGTTTTGGGACAATTTGGCATGAAATTTGGGGAGTTTACGGCCCAAGAATATCCTTGGCAGTAAACTCTTCATTTGTCCTTAAAATGGGAAGTTTAATGGTACAACACCCCTCCAAAGGCCTTAGCTAAATTCCTTACATGCATTTGAGGGGTTTTGGGACTTGTTTGACACAAAAACATGGGTGTTTACGGCCCAAGCTTAGCCTTGGCCGTAAACTCCTCTTTTTGCCATCAAATGATGTTGTTTGATGCATTTAAGCCTTCCTTGTTGTCAAGTCTAATTTACCAAACACCCTAGATGAGTTTTTGGGACTTTAAACAAGGGTTTTTGGGGTGTTTGAGGTGTTTACGGCCTAAGCACAAGCTTGGGCCGTAAACTCCTTTTTAAGCTTCAATTCTTTGTGTTTTAGTGTCCAAACTCCCCTAGGTTTATGCCTTAATTAGTCCATGAGCTTTAAGGAAGGAAAAACAAGGTCTTTGGCATGATTTTGGGGGTTTACGGCCTAAGGGGCTTCTTAGGCCGTAAACTCCATTTTGTTCCTTGTTTTCTATGATTTTGGACTCT